GAGGGAGTGTCAGACTATTACTGACTTAAAACCACCCCGTTCCTTCTCCTGCACGTCGAGCCGGAGCCCCGGTTACCTGTTAGGTTATCCGCGATAAAATAGTGACAGTTTAAGAGAAATACCTAAAGAATTACTGAATTACCTAAATTATCGGAATTCAGTTGGGTTTGTTAATGAGCCTTTGAAAATATTTTCTTAATTTTTTAAAAACTACAATGTCATAGTGACCACTTTAAGTTTTCTAAAAAGTGAGCATACTTCTCTATTACATAAGATATTATATATAAGAATCGCATGTAATTTGTGTGGGTTTTTATTCGCAAAATTATCAGTTAAACCATTTCTTTATTAATTCTTTTGTTTTGTTGTTAATACATAGATGGCTTTAATATTTTTTTATGGTGTAAACTGGTAAACGAGCGGACGGATCACCAGATGGTAAGCAATTGGCGTCACCCATGGACACCTAGAACACCAGAGGCGTTACAAGTGCGTTACCGGCCTTTTGGGGATTAGGAGTTTGAGGATCGATGGGGATTCAGAAATTAGGGAGATTGGGGAAGGGGAAGGTAATTGGGCCTCCGGTAACCTCACTCACACGACGAAACACAAAGCAACCGTTGCTTCACGTCGGTTTTCTGCGAGGCCGTGGTATCACTCCGGTCGAGCCGGCCCATTTGTGCCGAAGCATGGCTCTCCCACACTTAAAATATGTGCCACATTGAATCAAAATAAGATTTTTTGCCTATTAATATCCCACTAAGACGGTACCGTAATAAAACAATAAAATATCCAGTTGATTAGTGTCTTGAAGCACCAATCCTTCTGTCCAATAGTCCTGTACAGTGGAGCAATATCGGTTCTTTATGTATGCGGTATAGATCTACATACAAGTACCTATGTCACAGAACAGAGCATTATCTGATTATGTTAATGAGGATGATTTTAAACTTAATTGTTACCGTTTGTGTTTTACGCGTTGATCAACCGTGTGGTGGCAGCAACTAGCAATTGGGGCTGTTTGCCTTTCTGTGCAATTTGAATTTTTTTTTTTTTTTTTTTTTTTTTATGGCATAAGCCGGTAAACGAGCAGACGGATCACCTGATGGAAAGCAATCGGCGTCGCCCATGGACACCTGGAACACCAGAGGCGTTACAAGTGCGTTACCGGCTATTTGTGGATTAGGAGTTTGAGGATTGTTGGGGATTCAGGGATTGGGGAGATTGGGAAAGGGGGGGGAAATTGGGCCTCCGGTAACCTCACTCACACGACGAAACACAATGCAAGCGTTGCTTCACGTCGGTTTTCTGTGAGGCCGTGGTATCACTCCGGTCGAGCCGGCCCATTCGTGCCGAAGCATGGCTCTCCCACACTTAAAATTGCAGAATTTGTATTTTTCATTTAATTACAAGCTGTAAAATACTGTTGAGTTTATTGATTTCCTAATTAGATTTATCTTATTAATTGATCACACCTACTTACTAAAGCTGTATTCTTGAAATTGACGTCAGGTTTAGTCAACTTTAGCAAATCAACTATTCTCAGGAAGCAATATTATACGTATAGGTACTTTTATACACATAACATAACATCACGCCTTTTATTCCTGAAGGGGTAGGCAGAGATGTACATTATGCTACAATACAATGTAACACCTACTTTTCACTATTTATGTTATGAGTCCCATGTAATAAGGGGTTAGCCTATTGCCATATACGGGGCACAATTCCAGACTCCGTGCTACTACTGAGATTTTTTTTAAAACCCAGTATTACTTTGCCCGACCCGGGAATCGAACACGAGACCCCTTGCTCGGCAGTCGCATTTGCAACCACTCGGTCAACGAGGCTGTCTATACTACCAATACATTTCCAGAAACAAATTAAAAGTAGGTAATCAAATAAAATGGCCCTTAAACAACTGAACAATCTTTACAAGACACTCTCACAAAACACATTTACATCTCCCACACGATTGTAAAGCAGGTACGTAAGTGCATCACAAATTGGATATAGACCGAATGAAATCAGTCTTCAAGTGAATTCAAAATTCAAATCACGATCGGGCTCGTTCCTCCGACGTTCTCATCAGACGAAGTCTCCCGAACGCACTCGGGACCCTCCCGACTTTATTGAACTACTTGACAGCTGACATTCGCCCTTATTAACTGGATGATATCAAAGATGTACTGATGGAATGGACCTAAAGAGTTAAATGAAATAAATACTTTTCGTAATCTTAACTATCACATACAGGTTTGGTATTAAGCATGCTGACTCATAAGAATTTGTTACGCATATCCACAGCAAATAAACTGTATCAAAACTATATTCTCAAACGTGATCTTAAATAGTGTCCAGTTGGTAATAATATATTACAAATCAAGTTATTGTTATTGCAACGCAATTTGGATTAGTCATGGTGTTGAATGAAGAATTTTATTAAAATAAAATATATCTGATGTTTTTCCTAAGATAACCTATTTTAAGGACGGCTTTTTAGGTAACAAGCTATGTGTGATTAAGTATCCTATTGTCCATAGTCTGATTGACAGACAGACTGGCCCTGCACCAGTTTAAGAGAAAAATAGGACAAATATAAAATTAGATTTGGTTATCGACAACCAGTCAATTACACAACCATATTGACATCAGATTATTTTTGCCGGTTCCCATCTTTTTCGGTTCATATTTCCAAATCAAAATAGTGTTCTAGGATTTTCTCCGAATGTGTTCCACTTCAACCCCAACCAATGCAGTATCGTATTGTGCCACAGATTTCGATCGATCCATATTTTTTGTTAATAATCATTATATTCTTTGCAACTAGAACAATGTAATAATCGTAGCAATTGCTGTTCTATAGTGTCTGTCTACCTTCATGAGAGACAGGCGTGAGGTTCTAACATAACATAACATGAATGTACCTCTATATGTCTCTGTAACTAACAATAATGCTTTTCAGTTCCTAACAAATACTATTTGTCACATGACGGTAATAAATCATGTTGAATTAATGAATGATCAAGGACGAATAATTGACAGAGTTGAAGGTTCTTTGACCGTAAAAAGCACGTGTCACGTAGGTATATTTTTTTAAATAATAAATTATATTAATTTAATTAAGTTTTACAAAGGCGTAGCCTTAAATCTAAACTCGCCAAACTGCTACGTTTGATGGTAGTATAGTAGCAGTCACCTTACAAAGACTTATTATATTATAACAGCAAGGAAACATGTGGGCCTCAGAGCATGAGTATGAACACAAACTGGACGCAGATGTTCAAGAAATCGTGCGCCCTTTCAACATATTCTTATCCATATTTATATCATCTAAATACAAGATCAGTGACGGCTACATCTCACCATGTGATATAAAGTACCACATTTCGTTCTTAGTCATCATTGTATTTTTCAGTTCATGGAGCATCTTCAATCTAATAAATCTGGCCAGCACAAATTTCGTGGCTTCTATTTATGTGCATACTAGCCTCCCCTTATGTGCCACTTTCTGCGCAATCAGCTATTTGCTGTTAATCATCTCTAACGTCATACACAGCATTGACAACATCTCTCTTATTTTGAAGATCCAAGAAATTCACAGAAATATCGATATTACAGAGAATTTTAAATCTTTTGTCATCTGCAATTGGGTATCAGTGTTACTCGTCGCTATATTTTTCATTGTAAACATTTTACATTTTTTTATAATTTATGGTATGACTATCATTGAAATATTTTTTAACCTCTTGATTTTGGCTCTTAATTTAAATTTAATTTATGCCATTCGCCTCATAGTATTACTAGTTATATATCTTAAAAGATGGACCAATGTTGTGAAAGAAATAATGAAGAATGGTGACTATAATTATTATAGTCGGCAAAAAATATTGGATACCTATGAAAATATTTTAAAAGCTTACGAAACTCATAACAAGTGCTTTCGTATTTTAGTAAGTTGATGTTTTCATTTATCTTAAATACGCTGTAATATACTTATGGATAAAAAAGAATTATTTTCGTTTTTAGGTTTTGTGGCGAGTGATTTTATTATTATTTTATAGTTTAGCAATAGTAGCGATGCACTTAATTATCATGTGTCAAATTTCTAAATTAATTTACAAGGTGAGTTGTACTTGGTTTTGAAAACATAATCTACATAGGATTGGTAACTCGTTATAATTTAAATTATATCCAGTTTCAGTATGACCGAGATTTATTCACTCTTCTGATAATGAAATGGATTGTAGTAGACGTATCTATAGTACTCACCCTATGTATACATTATGAGAAGTTTTATATGGCTGTGGAGGAAGCTGAGTCAGCGTGTATCCAACTACTAATGAAGACAAACTGTTCAAGTAAGTATATTACTTTTTTGGGATATAAGGTCATCGGATGGTAAGCAATTAACAACCTCTCCCACGCAGTGAAAAAAACCCAAGAGTTATTTCACCGTGGTTTTGAAGAGAGAAAGTTGCTTATAAGCAACTCATTCATAGACAAGCATTGCGAGCGAATATCCCAGGCAAAGGGACATTATAAACAAAGTTTTTAGATAGAAACATAAATGTTATTAAAATAATTTCCTTGCAGAAAATCACAAGCTTCTCTGCAAACGAGTGCTACAACTGAGACGCACATTCAACAAGATGTCTGCATATGGGTTGTTTACTTTAGACGCTACTCTACCGATGCCTCTTATGGGACTTCTCACCCATTACATCATTGTGTTGTTGCAGTTTGCTTATCTATAAAATAAAGACAGGCTTTGACTGCCAATAGAAAACTGTTGAAGGCAAATCCTCCGTTAACGTTGGTCACCGGTGCCCCATGGCGTTCAATATGTTAATGTGTAATAATTTAAACATGTATAAGTGTATAAATTAAATAAAGATGTGCTGCAAATCTATAGTGTGTCAATTGTCAATATGCATTACTTTAATAAAAGCGAGTTTATTTCCTTAAAAAGATCCAAAAGTATATATTTGTTAATCACAATGTGCCAGGTAAGTCTACAACAGCACCTTCATTAAAATTATGTAACCGTGTCTTCATTAAAATCGTTTGGTTCTCACCAAGAAATGTACTTTTTGAGTGTATTTTTATGTTTTTTTGGAAGTGATCTAAAAGTTAGTGTCATTCGCGAATATTTCTTTCTATACAACAATAGGCTTAGAAGACGATAGATTAATATGGGCTTAAAAATGTAATTGAGACGGGCAAAGCCACATTCGAATGTTATCTAGCTAACTAATTAAAATAAATGTATGAGACCTCAAGGTAGTACATCAATCATTCGTAATTGATTATTAATATGACATATGTCAAAGTAATTTAATTATTTTGCTACTACTCATTATCATCATCATCATCATCCTGGTAAAAGAAATCGAATTATTTACTACAGTTCTTACTTAACAGTGAAAAGGATAAAACAAAAATAAAAATGCGAAGTACCTCACAAAATTGGTTTGAACAAAATGCCAAGTTACACGCAGATATTGAGAAGATTGTGCAACCTTTCAACATAGTGTTAACTGCATTTATTTCATCCAAATATAATATAAATAACGGTTATATCTCACCATGCAGTATAACGTATCGCATAACGTTATTTGTCATCATTTTCTTTTTCAGTACATTTAGCACGTTTAACATGATTCGCCTTGCTGGCACAAACATCAAAGCTACTATATTTACTCATATAAGTCTTCCTATATCCTACCCTTTCTACTACATCGGCTATTTACTGTTGATCATCTGTAACATCATACACAGCTCTGATAACATTTATCTAATTTTAAAGATCCAAGAAGTTCATAGAAGTATCGGTTTTACAAAGAGTTTTAAATCTTATATCGTTTGTAACTGGATTTCAATTTTTTTTGTTGCATTTTACTTCATGATAATCACTTTATATTTCGTTGTAATGTTTGGTTTAACCGCGTTCCAAGTAACTTCTAATCTTTTGATGATTGCTTTTGATTTAAATTTAATTTACGGCATTCGTCTTATGACGTCATTGGTTATGTACCTTAAAGAATGGACAAAAAACGTCAAGGAAAGAATGAGGAATAAAACAGATGATATTCGAAATTGGAAAGAAATATTTGACACATATAAAATAATTTTTAAAGTTTATGAAACATATAAAAAATGTTTTGCAGTTTTAGTAAGTTGACGATCAAAATGATATTCATTATTTTTTAATACTTTCGTATACTAATTTATATCTTATTCATGTTCTAGGTTTTATGGCGAGTGGTTTTATTATTGGCTAATAGCTTAGCAGTAATTGAGATGCAATTGGTTCTTTTGCATCATATTTCGATGTATATTAACACCGTGAGTATGATAAGTAGAATTAGTTCGAAAGTTTATATTGTTTTACCTCAATTCTGCAAAAATGCTGCCTATTGATCATCTTTAGGAAAAACAGTTTGAAGAATGCTATAAATATTTTCTGCTATGCAAAATGCGAATTACACGAATATTGTTCTCATGATTTCCAGTTACGATATGACGAAATTGACCAATCAGTGTTCTGTGTTTTAATAATGGCGTGGATCATGATGGATGCAGCTATAATACTAACGCTATGCGTACAATGCGAGAAATTTTATTTGGCTGTGGAGGAAGCTGAGTCGACGTGTATTCAGTTAATCATGAGTAGAAACAGTTCAAGTAAGAATAGTATAAACTTCTAGTATACCCCTACCCCTATTTCAAACATTCGGGACTTCCAATGCAAGATTCTGACTACGAGAAATACCACTTGCCTTATGCATTAACTCGTCGACTACCGGTTTTGTAGACACAATTATAGAACAATAGGTTGCGGTCACCGGTGACCGCGTGGTGTTTGACAGTTTAAAAGGACGATATAATTCCACATGCGAGATTGACTACGTGTCTGATGCATAGGACCGCTAAGTATGAAAAAGAATAGAAGAAACTAACGTCCAAACATAGAAAAAGCAAATCATAGACAGATATATGTCTATCTTCTAGGAATTTTCATGTATTTTTTTTTATTACAGAGAATCACAAACATCTTTGCAAGCGCGTGCTGCACCTGAGTCGTACATTCACCAAGATGTCTGCGTGTGGTCTCTTCACTGTTGATGCCTCTCTGCCGATGCCTCTCATAGTACTCCTCACTAATTATATTATAGTACTGCTGCAATTTGCCTATCTATAATAGGGTTGATGCCTAATTTTTATTTTAATGTCCGTCTAGTAGATTGTGTTAAGTCATTACTCACGTATTTTTTATTTTCTTACAGAAACGAATACTTTCGACGATATATTGATTTGAAATGTCGCGTGACGTCATTTCTTTGTACATACATTTTATACGTAGAAATGACGTTTACGCCCCCACTCCCAAACTTTGATCCGTTTTATCTAAGTATTGTTTTATTATACGACAAAATAAAAAATATGTGTCTAATATTTTTTCATTACCTAACTTACGGACTAATTACTTTTTTTTTTAATTTTCGTACCCTGTCATTATCCCAATTAAGTATCAACAACATCATCAGCTTATTCCTGTTCACCTTTGAACATAGGCTTCTCCAATAACACCGACTGTGCTCGATCTTCATCTCTTCTCATCCAACCATTGTAGGCTACTGTTACTTCTTACTATGATAAATATACCCTTTAGGTTTTGATTTCTTTCTCTAAATAGTCCTATTACATGAAACTTTTTTTGTTATGAATACTACAATTATTTACTGCTTTAATAATGGACAATTATAATTTGTATAAAAATAGCTTTCGAAATAAAATGTTTTTGTATTCGGTGGTTGTTTTATTTTCACAAAAAATTGCTATCCATTATTATTATATATTTATTTATTTATTTATTTATTTATTTATTTATTTATTTATTTATATTTAAGAACACTTTAAACTACTATTATTTACATTTTAATTCATAAACTAGTTTTTTCTAGGAAATCTGTTTTAGAAATTATTTTTATGAATGTGTATACCTTTGCAGGTTAGATAGGGCTAGAAAACTTAGAATATATTGAAGTAAGCATTCAAAGAAGCTCTATAAATGTCACCATAGTTTTAGATAAGGACTCGCATTTGCATATCAGTCCAAAACGAAGTCTTTTATAAACGAAAGTTAAAGAAGATAGATATTATAAAAATATAAGTAAAAAACATAAGCCTCATACCAACACCTAATATTATTTATCTATATACCAACACTTAATATTATTTATCTCAAAAAGTACTGGGCCGATTTATAAAATTCTTTCACCGATAGAATGCTACATTCTTCCAATTTGACATAGGCTACATTTCATTTTGAAAAAAATTAGGGATCCTTGGTAAAATTTGAACAATGAACCGAAGGTGTAGAAAAATGAGTCTTAAAATGTCTTTCGTCGAATGCGCTGCCGAAACTATTAGCGATAGAACAAAATAATGTAGAGCAATATTGAAGAACATCATAATGTCTGCAAAAACTCCGCGGTAGCATATGTCCAACTATTGTACTTATGTCACTACAACAATCCAAATTTCTAAAAATAAATAATTGTCTACCCCGTGCGAATCCGGGACGGGCTCCTAGTATAGTATATTATTGACACATTTATTAAAAATAACGAACGAACAGTTGCAGTACAATAATATATGTACATCCACAGTGATGATACCTAATCTTGATGAACGAACGATTCAGCTGCAAAATATGCTGGTATGCTTACAAGAATATATCTGACCTTCTCTAAAAAAATTAAGCATAAGCCAGGCATGTAAACCTTTCACATATAGAAATTTCCAAATATGGTTAGGATTAAACGTACTGTTACACTTTCAGATTTATAATACGAAAGGATGCTTTAATTGAGTACTTACTTAAGTAGCATGTATTTTACCGACTTCAAAAAAGGAAGAGGTATTATGTTCGGCTGATTATTACTTTTTTTGGTTTGTTCTCGCATTAACTCCGCCATTTGTAAACCGATTTACAAAATTCTTGTTGTGTTTGAAACGGTATACTCTCGAGATGGTCCCATTGCTATGAGGTCAGCATCTGATGATGGGATCTTAGGGAAACCGAGGGGAACTTTTGAAAATTGTAGGGGCGAGTAATGCGTAAAGCTCATAATATCATAATGATATAACTCAATGGCCACAATATTGTAAATGAGGTATCTATTAAGGTTTTAATGAATAATTTTGTATAGAACCTAAGGCGCCGACTTCTAACCTATCAGTGGGTGGGTAATCGATCAGTACTAATGATAGGTAGTTATTTTTTTCTTTTTAGTTCTAACTTTTAGGTTGTTATAAATTTTTGGTTTTTTGATATCGTTTTTTATGATATAATTGATACAAGTCTAGTAATATTATTGTACTAGGTATATCATAACCAATTTACTTTAAAGTGACCAGTATAGTAATATTTCTTTTGATTTATTTAGATAAAACATATTGAATTTACCTTGATATTTGTCCAATAACTCGTCGAGTACCGGTTTTGCAGACACAATTATAGAACAATAGGTTGCGGTCACCGGTGACCGCTTGGTGTTTGACAGTTTAATCACTCATCGTTGGTGATTATTTTTTTTTTATTAATGCATTATGATTTATTACTGTTTCGTGACAAATTACATGTAAGGAACATCTTTTTGGAAGCTGTTACTTAACTCGTCGAGTACCGGTTTTGTAGACACAATTATAGAACAACAGGTTGCGGTCACCGGTGACCGCTTGGTGTTTGACAGTTTAAATTGACTTTCAAAAGTTGTAGATTTTATTATAAATACATTATAAATATTATTCAAACGAAATAAAAGTAAAACGAGTGCAGGCTATCGACACACTGTTTAATTGCGTCTTACGTGTTTTACAAATTCGCGGGCTCAGCCACGCACATAAATTACCTATCACCACAGATTATACTATGACCATAGACTATACCACAGGTACAACACAACATTAAACATTAAATATTTCTATTTTTTAATGTACATAATTGTCAAATGTAGGATGTATGATGAAATATTTTTTTATAAATGCTTTCATAGATTTGATGAACCAGAATGCTAATTGCAATTTTAATGATACGTTTAACCATTTCATTCTACTTCTTATAGGAAAACAATATATATGAGGTAGTAGGTAACATTGTATACTACTATACTTAATATTGATACTAATTGTGTAAGTAAAAAAACTGTAATAAAACAATGATATAGTTAGTAATAAGTCCAATCAAAGGTATGGGCAGCGAAGCGCCTATGATGAATAGACCACATCCAGATATTTTGGTGAACGTGCGATTCAGTTGCAATACGCGCTTGCAGAGATATTTTTGACCTTCTGTAAAGAATGTAAAAAAAAACTTAAATTAGACCAAGTATTATTAACTTGACTGCCTTGGTGGCCGAGTGGTCGCAAGTGCGGCTGCTGGGAAAGGATTCTCGGGTACGATTCCCGGGTCGGGTAAAAGATTCCAGGGTATTTTGACAGGACAGACAGGAGGGTATGAGGGTCATGACCAGCAGGTCATGGTTGCTTCAAATGTTTTAAGTACATTGATGTTATCAACACGTATTTGTTTATAATTTCACTCGACTTGTTATTTTTTTTTTAATGAAACGGTGCCCCAAACTAGGCTTTTCTCCTATATCGTGGGTGTGTTTACAAATTCCACATACACTTCACACCCATACTCGGAACAATAATTTGTGGATAACACAAAGAGTTGTTCCGTTCGGGAATAAAAGAAAGAAAACGTTTCAGAAACAGCGTAGAGCGTTCTCCAAAGTGTTTGAAAAATTCAACCAGCTCAATTTTTACCTGAACAGTTTATATTCGTGAAGAACTGTATACACGTTGACTCCACCTCTTCCATTCTCCCGTAAAACTTCTCACACTGTACGCATAGAACCAGTGTCACGAGTACCTCCATTATAATCCATCCCGTTATTGTTACAGAATATACTTTATAGTCATATCGCAACTAAAAAGAAGTATAATATAATAAAACAATAATATGTTTAAGTCATTAAGAGCCTTTGACAGGGACTACAAACTTCATTCCAATATTTAGAGTATTTTTTATCATCAGTACGCTTTTTAGGGCGAAAATCATTCAATAACTTCTCTCGCTTTGGGTGACGCGAGAGGTGTCATCAGATTCTTATAGATTATAAATCAACCCGGTTCTACTCATGCTCTTCGAGCCGGAGCTTCAATAACTTCGCATTTACTCTTGAGATGTGGATTACCGAAGACGGTCAAAAAAGCTCAGGTTACTCAGAAAAATTCTACTGCCCAATCCATGTACAATTTAATGTGTAGTGACTTAATGGCTCTTATAACACGGGGAAGGGGGGAGGGGGGATTGTAGATATAAGTTATACATATCTGTAGCTTTGACATTACTTTTCGACTTATTTATTACTTACATGTTTATAGTTATTGCATCTGTCGATTTATCTACCCGGTAAATTGCATAGTTGCATTTTGCATTCGTGTTAAAAAAATAGCTTTCAATATATTTGTTTCAGTTACATCTCCTTCAAAGTTGTTTATAATTATTTTTAAGCTACGAAAATAATCTAAACTATTTATATTAATATTATAAAGAGGAAAGATTTGTACCTATTTTTGTATGTTTGTAATGGATAGGCTCAAAAAGTACTGGGCCGATTTATAAAATTCTTTCACCAATAGAATGCTACATTCTTCCAATTTGTCATAGGCTACATTTCATTTTGAAAACAATTAGGGATCCTTGGTAAAATTTGAACAATGTAACTGAAGGTGTAGAAAAATGAGTCTTACAATGTCTTTCATCGAATGCGCCGAAACTATTAGCGATAGACCAAAATAAAGTACAACAATATTGAAGAACATCATAATGTCTACAAAAAACTCCACGGTAGCATAATTATGTCCAACTATTGTAGTTATGTCACTACAACAAACCAAATTTTCAAAAATAAATAATTGTCTGCCCCGTGCGTAGCCGGGACGGGCTGCTAGTTATTTATAAAGCAATAAATAGCGAAACAAAATTATTATACTCACTTTATGCTTTGGCATTTGATACAAATTTATTAAATGCATCCCAACCACAGCTATACTGGTGAAAACTAATACCGCTAC